GTACGATGGCAAATCAAGCGGAGGGTTGGTGAGGTTCTAAGGCTTTCGAAAGCTGCTGCGGAGGTTTTGAGGCTTTCAAGGCCTGCCCAAAACGTGCCACATAGCAGTTTCGAAGCCCAATAGAAACAGCTTGTGGGGCCTAGGGAGGTACCACGGCCAAGCAAGCGGCACGCCTTCGAAAGCTGCTGCGGAGGGTAGTGAGGTTCTAAGGCTTTCGAAAGCTGCTGCGGAGGTTTTGAGGCTTTCAAGGCCTGCCCAAAACGTGCCACATAGCAGTTTCGAAGCCCAATAGAAACAGCTTGTGGGGCCTAGGGGAGGAGGATGGCAAAGCAAGCGGAGGGTTGTGCGGTGCTGAGGCTTTCGAAAGCTGCTGCGGGACTTTTGTGAACGTTTAAGGCCTGGCCGAAGCGTGCCATGTAGCAGTTTCGAAGCCCAATAGAACAGTTTGTTAGGGCCTATGGGAGGTTAACGATGGCAAAGCAAGCGGAGGGTTGTGCGGTGCTGAGGCTTTCGAAAGCTGCTGCGGGGCTTTTGAAGGTTTTAAGGCCTGGCCAAAACGTGCCATGTAGCAGTTTCGAAGCCCAATAGAAACAGTTTGTAGGGCCTATGGGGAGGTACGATGGCAAAGCAAGCGGAGGGTTGTGCGGTGCTGAGGCTTTCGAAAGCTGCTGCGGGACTTTTGAAGGTTTTAAGGCCTGGCCAAAACGTGCCATCCTGGCCAGAACGTGCCATGTAGCAGTTTCGAAGCCCAATAGAAACAGTTTGTAGGGCCTATGGGGAGGTACGATGGCAAAGCAAGCGGAGGGCTGCCATGGCAATGGTAAAGCCGGCACGAGCCATGCTGCACACCTACGGTGATCCCGGGCGCCGCCCCGCCTAGGCCAAGGCTAGGCAGGGGTCGGCGGATATATATATATATATATATATATATATATCAACCATAGCTCCTTAGCTCTCCTGAAGAAATTCACCAAAAAAGGTCGCCATCCTGGGTGTTTTCAGACAAGCTCTGGCTCACTATGGAGCACCACATTGCAACATATTTGGACATAGGTCCTGATTTTATGTCCCCACCAAATGGTTTAGTTAAACAATGTCCATCTTTTTGTTGGTGAAGCTAACCTTGGTAGGTTCCATAAAATACCCATACTGGTTGGTGGTTTCAAACAGCCACTTGCTCAAATCCCTGCCAGTACTGTGGGGTGGCAGCCCTTAGCTGAAATTTGAGTGGTTGTTTCACACCGGTTTGGGGGCCATGGATATGACTGAATGGGACAAAGCAGTAGCCCTTCATGATTTGTTTGCCCCAATGTGGTCTACACTGACTAAGGGAGCCGCAGTTTCAGTGGTGGTTGATGGTGTCCTGTTTAGCGATGAAATGCTTACAGGTGTATCCCTCCCAGACAATCAGCCAGTCAGGGTGTTCGGGGAAGTCTCAGGGCAGGTCAGAGGATGTCGCCGCTTGTCCATCCTGAATGCACTTGTGGACTTTCACCCTCCTTTTGTGGACTTGCTTCTCACAGACCTGAGTTCGGTTGTCGCTCATGGATTGAGTCCGGTGACTGAGATGTTCCGACTGGTTGAAGTTTGTTCAGGGGTTGCTTGTTCTAGTGTAGGGCTCAGCCAGGCAGGGTTCCGACATGTTGCCAGCGTTGAGTGGAGTCAGCCGCTGTCTCGTCTGCACCAGTTGTGTCATCCTGATGTCCCTGTCTTGCATTTGGATTTGACCCACCACCTTTGTGCTCAGTCAGTCCTTGCAAAGGTTGACCCACCGTTCACTTTGATGGCAGGCATCAGCTGTCAACCATACTCCACTGCCGGTAGTCAAGCAGGATCTGATGACGCCCGTGCCGCCACTTTGCCTGCAGCCTTGAAACTGTGTCACTTGTGTCAGTGCCCATTGATGATCATTGAATGCGTTGGCCCTGCCCAGAGCAACAAGTTTGTACAGTCTCACCTTCGTGCACTCGAGAGCCAGCTGGGATACAAGGTTTCAGATTTGACTTTCAGGCTTGAAGACAACTGGGCAGCCAAACGCATGAGGTGGTGGGTTGTTGCAGTGCATCCATGTTTTCAGTCGGTTGTGGTGCCAGAATGGCCACACCATCCACACATGTGCATTCGTGACATCATGCCGTACGTGAAGCAGTGGCCATCTGAGGTAATGCAGGAACTGATATTGGATGAAGAAGAAATGAGACAATTTACCCTGGATGGTTCCCACATGCGTAAGTACTTGGTTCAATCATCAGGCAAATTGCCGACCAGCCTTGACAGTTGGGGTAGTCAAAGTAGGGCCTGTCCCTGTCGATGTAGGGCTTCTGGATTCAGTGACCAGTTGATTTTGCAGCGTGGAATCTTTGGCCAGGTCCTTCCGGTTCCTGTCACTAGTGGTCCTCCCAAGTATCGGCATTTCCACCCTTTTGAATTGAGCCTGCTCAATGCCATGATGCCCTTGCCAGGATTAGCCCAAGATCCTATGGACTTGCGCCTTGGACTTTGCGCTCTTGGACAGCTTGCTTCACCTCTCCAAGCTGCTTGGGTGGGGGCTAGTGTGGCTAGTCAGTTGCAGTATGCCCTGAGCCTTCAGACCGTTGATCCTCCAGGAGTAATGCAAGGTTTAAAAGCCGCATTGTTTAGTAAAGCCAAAGAGCTGTACTTAGATGTTGTACCAAGCAATCCTGTTGGGGCAATGGTACAAGTGGTCTTTCCGGATGAAACCAGATTTGCTTTGCATGTCCCAGCTGCCGCCACTTTGCGTGATTTGAGGTCTGCTGAATCTGCACTGAACCACTTCGACTGCCCATCGTCCTGGACTGATGAAACGACGGGACGCCCTCTGAGTGATGATGACTGCATCCGAGGCCTGAGCATCCGTGCCAATTTCACAAGGGTTGCATCCGCGTCCTGTCCTGAGTCCTGTTTGTCAGTCCCAGCCGACGTCCCAGAACCTTTTCCAGAACCAACGTCTTGTAGTGTGCCTGGTCCTGTCCCTCTGCCAGAGCCTTCAGCTGATGTTGACATGGTCCCATGGAATGTTCGTCCTGATCCCCTCGCTGGACTTACACATCTGCAGGGTCCTCAACTTGCTGCGTTGGTCCCTCCTTTGTTGCCTGACATGCATCAAGTTCAAATCATGCGACAGGAACATGCTGGTGTTGACAATCGGCTCATGATCCTGCACAATCAAGGCTCGGCCATGGCTGATGATGAAGTCTTGTTGCATGTTCAGGCGTGCATCCAATTGTCTGGTCGTACGGACGTGTGTCTCCTTGACCCTGTGCTTGCTTCCAGTTGGATGCGTGTTGGACTGATTGACCAAGTGCGCACATGGTTTGCTGGTATCCCGTCCTGCTTGCGTGTGGTTTCTGTTGTGCCCTTCAATGAGCATTGGATCCCGGTTGTCTGGTCCCGTGGCCAAAAGCATGTCTGTGTCTCCTTGTGGGAACTTGATGGACTTTCTGTGGATGGCTTGAACCCGCTCCATGGATTGATTTGCCAGGCTTGGCAGTTAGAGGGAGTTGTTGTCACTTGCACTCGCCGCACCTTTGCCCCGACACACTGTGGAGCAGCTGCCTTTGCCTACCTGTCGCACATACTGTTGGACAAGCCTCTGCCTGGTGATTATGATGCCATCGTTGCACTGCATGTGGACTTACAAGAAAGCTTTGCCACCGCAATCATGGATTTGACTGTCGTGCCTCGACCATGGTGCTGGGGACTTGGCATTCCTGACACGCTGAGTTTGGTTGCCAGTCTTCTTCAGTTGCATGGTGTCCCTATTGCCCAGTCGTCTCAGCGTGCCAAGTTGATTGTCCAGAGCTTAGGGAGAAACGAAGTCACCACTGCTGTCACCGGGGGAACTCCTTGGAAATCTCTCAAAGCCTTGGCCAACCTGCAAACACCTCCTGTGCAGCTGGTGTTGCCTGATGAACAGCAGCAGAAGACCCAGCAAAAGCCACCAGGCAAACAGCGGAAACGGCCCACTCAAGACAGAACAGCTGGGCCTATCAGACCTCAAGAGATTGACCCTGCCAAGATTCAATTGGAGCCTGGTAGCTTCTGCACTGGCAACGACGAACCTGTTGCTCAGTTGGACTTTTCTCAGCTCGGTCCTTTGGTCTCTGGAGTTGCACTGACGACACATGCGGCCGCGCTGCCTTTCTTGCAGGCCGACAAGCTCTTGACCAGCAAGGGCTTAGCTATCTTGGTTTTGAATCCGCCGAAAGACTTTCAGACCAACCTTCAGTGGTCAACAGTACGATTTGCAGCCAGGTGTGCCCTCAACCAGGAACCCATGTTGTTGCTTGGAGCTTTGGTTCAGCTTGGAAGTTCGATGGTGTACCAATTCCGGGCCAAAGACACCCCAGCCATCATGTCGGTCGACGTTGCCTGTGCCAGGATCACAGTTTTTGCTGACCAATGGGAAGGAAGCTGGGAAGACTTTGCTGCCAAACCCATCAAGCACATCCTCGCAAGCATACCAGCTCTGCAGACCTGTCGTGCTGACAACTGCACTTGTAGCTCCTGGCACCCATCTCCCGATGGACCACATGAAGCAATGCTGGATGTGTTTCGCAGACAGTTTTTGAATGAAGCAGGCCGCCCGGCCAAGTGGGAGCATGCTGCCTCCTTTGCTGTCCTGATCAGGTACGTCAAGTCGTTGGAGCCTGCAGTCATCGCTGTCAGTGGAAGGGGCGGGTTGTATGTCGAGCCCAAGACAGAAGATGCCTCACAGCCCCATGGAGATTACCAGGTGATCTGGATGCCGCAACATGACTTTGCCTCCATCACCCACAAAGCCAAGTGTGAAGCCCAGTGCGTGGGCATAGCAAGAACAGGCAGGCGTTTTGGCCTTCGCGTCCATGCTATGCACTTTCAGCAGGTGTTTGCCAGCGTGAAACCGGAGGCGGTGTTTCTGGCCCCAGGTGCAAGAATGGTCTTCCATTGCGGCCCGTGGCCATACGGCAGTGATCGCCGTGGTTTGGCCAAGACTTTGAAAGCAGGAGGCTGGGAATGCCGTCCACTCCAGCCGCTACACAGCGTACCAGGTGGACTGATGTGGTCTGTGCAAGCTGTGACGGTGCCTCCGTCCAATGTGCTCAACATGCACCATGGCCAGGTTGTGATCACGCGGCATGATGCCAAAGAAGCCATGTCAGGTCCTGAGACGCAAGCCATTGGCCAAGCCAAGACCTTGAAGCTGTGCTCCGTACAAGACACAGCCAGCCCAGACCCGTGGCTAGTCAATGACCCATGGAAGCAAGCAGCCAACCAGATGCCAGTGCCACCACCAGCTGGCCAGCCCGCAACTGCCTGTGCCTTGCAAGAACTTGAGCAAAGGATTGAATCGAAGGTCCTTGCCAAGTTACCGCCTGCAATGGAGCGCATGGAAGTCGACGACCAGGACCAACGCCTGCTTGTCTTGGAGCAGCAGATGCACCAGCTCTCGAACCGCCAGGGGGCCCTTGAGGCCACGGTCACTGACCACCATGCTCAGAACACAGCCCAGGTCCAGGGCTTACAGCAACAGATGATGATGCAGCTGGACATCCAGTCCAAGCAGATGCAGAGCATGCTGACGGATCAGATGACCAGGATTGAGACCATCCTGGCGAAGAAACCCCGTACTGAGTGAGGGTTTGGGAGCCCTGGAGTTTTGCCCAGCTGCAGGGTGACCCGTTGGTCGCTTCGACCACTGAGGGCAATTTTGCCCGTTGTGTTGTTCACAATGCTGTGCCGCCTTGGGGAAGCACGTGTACCAGGACCTGACGATGTTTCATGGTGTCTTGGGGTAGGTAACCCTTCAGGGCTACAGGGAAAGTACCATGTTTTGAACAATGTCCAGGCCGACGTGATGGCACTGTCCGAGACACACCTGACCAGCAGCTCTCGCCGGGGCTTTGCGAGTAGCCTGAAAGCAATGAGATCACGTTTCAAGCATGTTTTGACCGGCGCCCCCATGGCCCCAAGACGCAACACATGTGATGCTGGTGAATGGGCGGGAGTTGCATTCACCTCGACCTTCCCGTGCAGGTCAATTGCCACGCCATGGCCGCCAGATGTTTATGAAACAGGCAGAATCCAGTTTGGATCTTTCTATACGCCAGCCTCATGGATTTCAGGGGCAGTTGTCTATGGGTATCCTGAAGGCCGAAACCACCCCAACGCCCATGCTCAGACTGAAGCCTTGTTGGATTTTGCGGTTTCCCACCTCCTGTCCTTCCCGGGTCCCAAGTTCCTTGGTGGTGACTGGAATTTTCTGCTTCAGGACTTGGCTGTTGTCCCTGTCTTACGGTCCCATGGATGGATTGAAGTCCAAGAACTTTACAACACCATGACTGGAGCCCCGGTCCAACCCACCTGCAAGGGCGTGTCACGTAAAGACTTCCTGTGGGTGTCTCCTGAATTGGCCTTCTCGTTGCTTGATGTGCATGTTTGCCAGAACACTTTTGCTGATCATGCCATGATCTTGGCCAGGTTCCGAGGTGGCAAACACCATCTTGAAAGTTTTGTGTGGCCCTGCCCGAAAGCCATCCCATGGCATGAAGCTCCTGCCCTAGACCAGCCTTTTGACTTTGCGTCCCCGGTGGATCCCACCTCTCAGTATGCAGCCTTGTGGCATACCAAGGAGCAATCTGCTGCAGTCTCAGTTGCCAGTTGGGTCCCTGCTATGAGAGGGCGAGGTCAACAGGTTGAGCCCAAGAGGAAAGTTGGTGCCCCAGCACCTATCAAGCAAGGAAGAAATACTGACATTCAGCCTGGATTTTTCGGGTTCTCCGCTGTCCATGCTAAGCAGTTCCGTCAATTGCGTCGACTTCAGAACTACTGTCGTTGGGTTGATGCCTTTGAGCGAACAGGCAGTGGTGATGGCCTCCATGGAATTGGACTTTGGAGGTCCATCCTGCGGGCACCTGGATTTGTGCCGACCTTCAGTCGTTGGTGGTTGTGTCGTCAGTATGTCAGCCCGTTGGATCCTGTGGACTTACCCTCTTTTGCGCCGTCTTCTGCTGTGGCTCATCAAGTCTTTGAGGCTGTGTTGGCTGAGGTCCGGTCCTTTGAAAGAAACCTGCAGGCTGCGCAAGCAGCACACAGATCGTCCCAGCATGAACGTGACCGCCTGTTGATCTTCCGGGAAGTTGCACGAACACCAGCTGCTCCTGTTGAGTCCCTTGTGAAGTCAGTGAAAAGTGTTGTTTCCGGCCTTGACGTCGATGAGTGTGCTGTGGTTTTGACTCAGCCTGTTGAGTTGTCAGCAGATGCCCCTGTCTGGATAGGAGGAAAAGGTGCGGAAGTCATCCACGCCGAGGCGGACAAGATCTGGGTGTCGGACCTTGAAGGCATCCAGCCTGAGGACGACATTGTTCAGTCCCAATCCATTGGCCACTTGCGTGACTTGTTTGATGCCTTCCATGACCAATGGAAACTTCGATGGTGTCGGCATGATGGTTTGGCCTTTTCCCACTGGGATCAGTTGATTGGATTTGTTCAGCAAGTCCTGATGCCTCGCCCCATCCCTGACTTGAAGCTTGATGTGGACTTGTTACGTGCAGAAGCACATCGCAAGAAAAAGCGTTCAGCCACTGGCCTGGACGGTGTGAGCAGAGCCGATTTGCTTGGCGCTGATCCGGCCACCTTGCTCTCCTTGCAGCGGTCCTTTGAACGAGCCCAGTACGATGGGACGTGGCCAACTCAGCTGCTGGCTGGGAAAGTGGTTTCCTTAGCCAAGTCTGACACTGCGGCAGGGGTCGGCGATTTTCGCCCCATTACCATCTTTGGGCTTCCCTATCGACTGTGGTCCAGTCTTCAGGCCCGGCACCTCCTGGCACATGCTGAAAGTTGGGCTGACGATGGGGTCTTTGGCAATAGAAAGGGCAGACAAGCTGCAGACCTGTGGCACCACTTGTTGACCCAGATCGAGAATGCATACAGTGCTCACTCTGCTCTGAGCGGCATCTCGGCCGACATTGAGAAGTGTTTTAACTGCATTCCTCGTTACCCAGCCCTGTGCCTTGCCATCCTCATCGGCACCCCAAACGCTGTGACCACAGCATGGGCGGGCGCCCTGGCCAACATGCGTCGACACCTCAAAGTCAGAGAATCGTTTTCCGAGGGGTTCCTAACCTCCACCGGGCTTGCTGAAGGTTGTGGCTTGAGTGTTTATGGTATGCTGCTTGTCGACCACTTGTTTGCGTGCTGGATGCGTGTTCAGGCCCCTGCCATCCGTACGTTGTCTTACGTTGATGACTGGCAAACCTATGCTTGGGACCCCACTTACGCTGTCAGACAGTTGCAGTTGGTTGAACAGTTTGCTGGCATGCTGGATCTCACAATTGACCGTCGCAAGACTTTTGGTTGGTCAACTGATCCTGATGTGCGGGCAGTCCTGCGGTCTCAAGGTATCCAGGTTTTACACCATGCCAGGGAACTTGGCGGTCACATGGGTGTGTCAAGGCAGTACACCAACCGCACACTCAAAGACAGGTTCCATGCCCTTGAGGACTTCTGGTCTAAGCTGAAAGCCAGCAGAGCCAAATACCATGCCAAAGTGTTCATGCTTCGTGCGGTGGCCTGGCCACGTGGCCTTCATGCAGTTGCCAGTGCACCAGTGGGAGACGCTGCTTGGACTGACCTGCGCCGACGTGCCACTGGTGCCTTGTCCTATCACCGTCCTGGCGTCAATGGATTTCTTCTCCTGGGTTTGGTTGAAGCCTTTGTCGATCCCCAGTTCCTTGGCCTTTTGTGGACTTGCCGTGAGGCTAGGAGTCGGTGCCTCCCTGAATTCTGGTCTACTTGTGTGGCCCCATTTGCCTTGGGTCAATTGGACTTGCCACCCAACTCTCTGGCGGCCATTCTGGTTTCTCGTTTGCAACAGGTTGGCATGTCTGTCTTGCCGTCAGGGCTTGTGTCGGATCAGTTTGGTACCTTCTGCCTTCATTCTGCAAACTCATCCGAAGTTGATTTCCGTCTTCAGCGTGCTTGGTGTCGGCTTGTTGCCACGAAGGTTGCCCATAGAATGGACTTCGCCGGCCTTGCTGAGGTTGACCTCACTGCTTCACGGAAAGCACTGGCTTGCTTGGCAGCAGATGACCAGGCCCTGCTCCGCTTCAGCATGGCCGGGGGCCTGTTTACCGAAAGGTACAAAGCCAAGTGGACTGAACAGTCCGACTGCTGTGTTTGGTGTGGAGCTTCAGACACTCTTCGTCATCGGTACTGGGAATGCCCCCACCATATGGACTTGCGCTCCTCCCTTGCCCCTGATGCTACCCGGCTGTTGGACTTGTTGCCTCCTGCCTTGGCTCTCCGCGGTTGGACTTTGCTGCCCTCCACCTGGCATGCATGGATGTGTACCCTTGCTGCGCTGCCATCTGAAATGCCCTCCCCAGCGTGTCAGCTCCGGCCTGGAGTGTGGAATGATGTCTTTACAGATGGCTCATGTTTCTGGCAACATCGCCCTGCTGTTCGCCTTGCCGCCTGGTCTGCCGTGTTGGCGCGTCCTCTGACCCCTGACTGGCAGCCGTCTGCTGCTTCCGTGCTTGGTGCCTCCGTTGTTTCTGGATTTTGTCAAACTTCCTACCGAGCTGAACTTACTGCGTTGGCTTTTGTGTTGGACTGTGCTGCTCGTGCTGGTGCCCCGATCCGTGTCTGGTCTGATTGTCTGGGAGTGGTCAATCGATTCTGCTCGTTGGTTTGGGGATCAGGTCGTATCAACTACAACAGGCCGAACAGTGACTTGTGGCAGTGGATAGCAGACTCCGTGGAGAAGCTTGGACGCGACAAGATCAGGGTGGTGAAAGTCCCAGCACACCGGACGTTGCAGAGTGCTCGCACTCTGCACGATGCTTGGGCCTTTTTCCACAACGCAGTTGCAGATCGAGCAGCACGCCTGGCCAACCAGGCGCGCCCTGAGAAGTTTTGGAAACAGTGGGAACAACATGCGAAAGAGGCTCAGGCGGTGGCTGAACTGGGCGTACAAGTGCGGGCATTACATGTTGCGGTAGGGCGCCACCACATGGGCATTGGCGCCAAGCGTGAGAACCCCGTGCCGGAGGTGAAACCAGTGCGGACCTTTGAACCCAAGTTTCAGTTTGGCCCTTGGACTGGAGATGTCCCGCCTAAAGCGGCACGACTTTTTGGGTCCACACATGTCAGCAGAGTTGCCAGGTGGTTGTGGGAGCGCCTCCAGCCAAGTGGGGGTGCAGTTGTCTGGATTACTTTCAGCCAATTGTACCTCGACTTTCAATTGGCATGGAATCACCCAGGACCAGTCCGAGTTCAACAACAGTGGATTGACACAGACTTGCGAAAGTATGTTGCAGCAGAACGTTTTCCATGTCGGCAGCGGGTCAAATGGTTCAAACAACTGCTTAAAGCTGTCTGGAAGGAAATCCGCATGGAAGTCGCTCTGGCCCAGGCTCGACCGACCTCAGAGATGGTCTTGGCATATTTGCCAGCTGCCTCGTTGCCATGGCCGACACAGGCCATCCAGAAGGTCGATGCATGGCTAGCAGCTCATTTGCCTGGCCCATGCACGAGAGACGCTGCTGCCTTGGCACACCTGCCAATTGCTGTCACCAAAGGTGGCGCTTGGAAAGACCTGCGGTGACAAACATTGCTTGGTCTCCTTGTACATTGGGCTTCGCTCTCACCCCCGAGCAAGCTACAGGTCAGAAAACCGTGGAAAACCGTGGTGGTTTCAAACATTTTTTTTCCCATAATATATGGGATAATCCTTCCCATTGACTAATATTTTTCAAGATGGTTCAAACCACCAACCAGCATAAAATAGCCATGTCATATCCTGTGATATCGAAATCCAAACTGACAGGCCTTGCACCCCAGAGTCTCCTGGCGAACTCGAGAGCTGGAGGCCCGGACATCCCGGACAGATGGCCTGGATGATGATCTTTAGATGTTCGATTTCCCATAGGGAACTCCAGATTCCAATGGTTGTCTGGTTGTCTGGTTGAATTTTATGACTTCCCAGAAACAGTTGGGAATGTCATCATCCCAACTGACCTGCACTCCATCATTTTTCAGGGGGGTTCAATGTAAACCACCAACCATTTGTCTATTGCAGTGTTTCTGGCCTTGGACCGACAAAAAGTCACGATCACTTCGTGGTTTACTGACGAGTCCATGGTTCCCCTTGGCCACGTTCAAGGCTTTTCCAGCGCCATGCTGGGAACTGGAATCAGTTTATGATATTTTCTAGGGGGTTGACCATTTGGAAATCGAACATTGCTATGGAACATGGACAATTTACAGATGATTTACCTATTAAAATGGTGATTGTACATAGCTATGTTAGTTTACCAAAGGGTATGAATGGTGATATCTTAAGGGTAGGTTTTCAGGGGATATATTTTAAGAGCATACAATGGAATACATACATTTGGATATACGTGACCAAAAATCTGATGTTTGGGTTTGTCCGAAATCCAAAAATGGGGGATACCTCAAAATAACATATTTGAAACATTTAAGGAACATCAAGTTTTTAGTGTTATCTCGGGATTTTGGGCTACCCTGTTTTTTCAGACAAAACCACACCATTTTTTTTGCGGCAAAAGCCAATAGTGTACCATTCCGATGACATCACCAATTAGTTGGATGTCATGTTACATCATTTACCCTCTGGTAAACTAACATAGCTATTGAAAATGGCCATTTATAGTGGATTTTCCCATAAAAAATGGTGATTTTCCATAGTTATGTTAGTTTACCAGAGGGTATAGGGGTATACCAAGCAATCAGCTACGTGACTTATGTCCCATCATGTCCCATCATGTCCCATCGAATGTTGTGGTACTCATGGCTACCAATTCCAATTGGGCTACTCATGGAACCTTTTACGTGGTAATAACCATGTCTAAATATACAACATACCCTCTGGTAAATTAAGAGTCTGACCCTAAGAAAATCACCATATTTTAGTGGAAACTCATCCAACTCATCTTCCAAGCCCTATCTACCAGAGTCGAACTGTTCATTTACTGGAGGGTAATTTATGTTCCAACCGTATTGGATAAACGGCTCAGGGGAACGATCCGCTGGAGCCCCTCAAGATGGAGCCGCCATCGACGCCCGCTTCGCTTTCCGCGTTACGCCGTTGGTTTTGGGACGTGGAAACCCCAATTGTTTGGGGAAAACCTGAACTACAAACAATAAGGATTTAACCCGATTTAAGCCCAAACATGTGTGGTTTGGTAGAAACCATGTAGAAAGCAGTTGTCCCAACTACCAAGTATAGGGAAAACTGTTTTCTCAAAAAATGGATTGGGTTGTAGCCTGAATTTCAGACAATCTCACTGGTGGATTTCAGGGTTTTTCCCAGAATTTGATGGCCAAATTTCTCATATGTCCCACTCAAGTCCTATTTGATGGGCACCCCATTTTGAGTCAAAAGAATTTCTTTCTGTGGGCGGTGTGTCTGAAAATGGAGTACAGTAACACAGTACCCATAAATCGAATGATTCATCATAGTTTTCCCGATCAACATATGGCCAATAGTTGGGAGGTATCCCTCATTTTCAGACATATCCAGTTTCTTGTGATGTTTTTGGTGGTTTTCAGCCACAGGGCCAAGGAATCCAGTGCGTTCATTGTCCAACTCTGATTTGCTTCCGGTTGGCAGGCTGAGACTACAAAAATAAAAATAAATAAAATGAGAAAATGCATATTTTGGTGCGGTGAAAGTGCTGAAGTGGCCATCATCAAGTTTTTTGCCAGTTCTAGGGGGGCTCCTTCTTGATTGATGTGCCAGGGCGTCACAATCTCAACATTTACATTGTTCTTTAGCAAAGAAAGCGGTGTGAAATAAGCCTATAATTCTTGGATCCAAAATTTTGCGGCTTATGACATGTTATGACTAAGAGCTGCTTCCCCATAGCCCAGCCTCTTTCAGAGCTCAGGAATTATCCCAAGAAGTTCTACTGTGGAGCCGGGTCACTGGGACTGTTGGAATGATGCCATGTTGCTGATTCTTGGGTGGATAATTAAAGATACCCTCTGGTTATTTAACCTAGCCATGGAAAATGGCCCATTTATAGAAGGTTTACCTATTTGAAATGGTGATTTTCCATGGCTATGTTAAATAACCAGAGGGTAGCAATGGAAAAAACGTGAAAATCCATCATCATTGTGAATTATTGTCTATGGTAGAGACGTATCAATCATTTAATGGAGACACATACCCATCTATTTATCATGGCAATCATCATGGTGGACAGTGGATGATTTCCTTTATATAAGTATATAAGGCATATCTATTAATGATGTTTTTCATTTAGTGATGATGGCATTATTATCTAAGGTATCTACTAGTATCTACTAAAAGTGAACATGTTCTAAGGCTTCAGAAGGTTCTTTGCTATTGGACAAGTTCAGAGGTCCGGTCAGTTTATGACCCTAGGATGCTACATCACCCTGGGTACCCGTGCAGCAATTCACCAGAAATGGAATCATGTCTTTTTTGAAGCCGAAATTGGATGTGCATGTCATTGGTAAACACCACATGACATGACATTGCCAAAAATTAGTTCACCATATATTTCTATCCATATTATAAGATACCATGGATGGTAAATCCATGTAAGTCCATTGGATTAACACTGGATGGTGAATGGTAAATCCAGTGTTCATTCATAAAACATGATAAAACCATGGATGGTACCCTCTGGTAAACTAACACAGCTATGGAAAATCACTATTTTTAATGGGTAAATCCACTATTTCAATGGCAATTTTCAATAGCTATGTTAGTCATTACCAGAGGGTAACACCATTTCACCATATCACCATGGTTTTATGAATGAACCACTGGAGGCAGCCATCCTGGCGTTTAAAAAACCAAGGCGCCGGCTGCGGAAGACGGGCCAACAGGAGACCTGCGTATTACTGTTTTGTGGTCGGTGCTGGAGTCACCCAAAACAAGGGTCACTGAACAAATCACTTGTGTCGATTAACACATTTCTTAAAAAATGTGATTTGTTTGGTAATGATTATATAACACATGTTAAAAGTGGATTTGTTTAGTGACCCTTATTGTTAATCCACTGTTTAAGTGATTGGGTCGATTTTCTAAAGTTGGAAGCCCTTTTTTCGTGAATTTTGGATGATCCCAATGGAAACCACGACTCTGCGAGACACCAATGTTATATCAATATTCCATTCATATCTCATGAATATGCCTTTTAATATGCCATTTGATGTGAACATGTCATATATAATATATATATTTCATATATATATATATATTTCATATATAATATCCCAACATATTTAATATAATATCCCATTAATATAGGACTAGTCCATTTCCCCAACAAAAAACACCAGAACGAGCGGCCAAACCAGGACTGGCGGCCGGCCAAACCAGGCGATGCCTCGAGGACACGGAGCGGAGAAACATGAGGATTTGATGGGATTGTAGGATTTGACTTGGCGTGATCTATGTACATAAGTATATATATGTATATATCTCTGGGTAAATTATAACGACCTCACTGCGACCGAACCCTGGAATCATAGTTAGTAAGGGGAATCATCCCCAAATGGCCGCAAGATTCAGGTTAGTGAAATATTATAATTTACCCAGATATATCATGTATATATATATATATTATATTTTAACATCATTTGACATGATTTGGCATGATTTAAGACATGATTTAAGACATGAGTATCGGACAAAATTATTAGCATTTGAAAGTAGTAGAGAGCTGCCTTGAACTTTGCTCGCCTTCACGAAACCTTCACAACCGATAGGGGACGACCCAGCACCGATACCCCTAGATCCCAACACGTTCCCACAATAATCTGGATTAGGGCGTTTATTTCTGCAGCAGCGGCTACAAGCAGGGCTGTAAAGAAGTACGTCAGCTAGCTTTCTCTTGGAGAGCACCAAGCATATTGTTTGCGGCAATTCATGCACCATTCTCACCGATACCTCAACCGATACCAACCGATACCCAATTTTGCAATTATTCTCGCTTGCCGAGACCATGTCCCACGTACTACTCTTGCTGCTACCGCTTTTCCTACTGCCACTACTGCTACTACTACTGCTACTACTGCTACTACTGCTACTACTGCTACTACTGCTACTACTGCTACTACTGCTACTACTGCTACTACTGCTACTACTGCTACTACTGCTACTACTGCTACTACTACTACTACTAGTACTACTAGTACTACTAGTACTACTACTAGCACTACTACTAGCACTACTACTAGCACTACTAGCACTACTAGCACTACTAGCACTACTAGCACTACTAGCACTACTAGCACTACTAGCACTACTAGCACTACTAGCACTACTAGCACTACTACATCTACATGTACATCTACATCTACATCTACATCTACTACTACTACTACCACTACTACTACTACTACTACTTCTTGTACTTGTGCTTCTACTTATTTTAGTACAACGAGCAGCGCTTGCTACTGGATGTTATCAAAGAGCCAATATCTTCACAACTGATAGGGGACGACCCAGTTTCGCCCGTGGCAATTGCGGGGAACAAATAATTTTGTCCGCCACTCACATGTTTAAACCTGATTTCAAGCTGACTGAAGTTGATTTATGATCCCATGACCCGATCAATAGGGGCTATGGATGATATTAGTGAAATATGCCGGGTATATGACCAACAGAAGTGGTAAGACTGGGGATGCACAATGCATAACTGGGATATCATGAGTACGAACTTCAATATCACTGCTTAATGGGTCCGATTGTTGAGTTTGGAGTTTCAACATGAGATGATGATCCAATTTGATGATATCAAGAGGGTCAAAACCATTATCTCGATCAACAAAAACTGAACATTTGGTAGTCAGCTTGTTATCTCACAACGGTTGATTGATGTAATTTGATCATGAATATGATGTTATCTCAAAAACTGAAAAATAATGAAGATGATGTAGTTTGATCATTCGCCTGGCTGGCTGCTTGAGTCATCTCACAACGGCCAGCCACGGTTGATTGCCATGATGAATCCGGCAACTTGTTCAGCCGACTTGACATATCGGCTGACATATCTTGACCAAGATTGCCGAAGCCTTCAGTGATGGTGAACAATCCCAAGATATCCCAAGTCTGGTTGCTTGAAAATGTTCGGTGCTTCCAGACTTGCGCGGGTCAATGGTTCTGGATGGTTTCCGGGTCAAAGTTGAGTACCTTCCAAACATGTGAGTTACTCCCAAAACAGCCACGAGCTGATGGCATGGCAGATAGTTCCTTACGTGGGTGTTTCATCCGCTTGTGGTACTTAAGTGCCCTTCCATTACACCCCAATGAGCCACCTTCCCTTCTAGATTTCAACACCCATGTTTATCCCCCAAAAAGGGACCAAGGGACCGCAGCTATTGGACATATACCGGAATTCTGACCCAGACCCTAATCGCCACCAGTCTGTGTGGTTCGATGTTGCCCCATGTCCAATTTTGATTGAGGTTTTCCTTCATGGCATACTGTCCGGCAATCAGAAGTTGGCATCTTGGAATATTCCCATTATTTTGAGACAGACCCACCATTTTTTGTGGAGTTCCCATCAATATCTATAGTAATAAATTGTACTTGATATCCATCAATATCAGACACACGAACTATATAGTGAGTTGACATCACTTATCATCCACCAACATATTCTCATCATATCCCGCTGAAACTCCCATCCAAATTGTGGTAGTAATATCATGTAATATCCATTTTTGGGTGACTATATAACTAGTTGGTTGATAGGTTTCCTATGTCACCAGCTAGTAATAGTTAGTATATAATTCCTTACTTCATAAATCTTCACCAATCAACAGTCCCCCAGTTGGGTATAACTTGACAGGAAGACTGCCTATGTCCTGGCTGTGGGAGATTGGGGTGCCACGACCTGTCCTCATGAGCAGCTCGGTCGACAACCGACCACCCCATGTTCGGACAAACACCACTGTCGTTGGTAAAATCATTTTAAGTCCCAATATGGGTGTGTCTGAAAATAGTGTACCCCTAAACCCAATGGTTAATGATCATTATCCCTATTAAATGGCTATAATTGGGAATATACCCTATTTTCAGACATACCCATATGTATATATATATATACATCTCATTGGCTAAATTCCCACTATTGTTGATTCTATCACCATTTGAAACATCAAACAACTGGGAGTAGATCAACAAAGCTGTGGATGATCATGTCATCTTCTTGCGCGACGTTGTCCAGCACAAAAACTTTGTTAAGGCTGGCGCATTGGATAGAATCACATAGAACATGATCAACTCTACATATCTCTATAAGGAACTTCAAGCGATTTGTTTATATATATATATGTCTGTATTGGACAGATGAGAAACTCTGTAGATGCTGCATGTCTCTGTTTAAATTATTGTTTAGGAATTGTTTAGTGGTTTTGAATATCCGTTTCTTTGCAATGCCTCAACTTGGTGGTTGTTTCAAATCTCCGGTTTTCCAGTCTACCTAAGTTGTTGATGATTACAACTATATTATTACTATTGATGATCACCATTGATGATACATATATAGATATGCATATATATATGATATATAGATTATATGTAAAACAAAAAACATATAGTTTGAAACTACGAAGCAACAAAACATTGAATGGCGGATGGTCGCATCGTCGGTGCCGCAGCGTCTCAACCAGCAAGGGATCTGCCCCCTGTAGTGTACAAATTCAGATGATTTCAGAGTTAAAGAAGTATCTCTACACCACACACATATCAAATATTTATCCACCTGGATGTAGATATATGTAGATGTATTTGACATTTGGATGCACATACTGGTACGTATACACACAGATATTGTATGGATATAACATAAATGATATTAAATTGAATGCACAGCATCCAGTCCAATATACCTATTATATATATATACTGTATATTATACCCATATTATATATTATATATACATATATATAATATACCCATATATATATATAATATGCCTCTATATATAATATATACCTATATAATATATATATATATATATGTGATTATACAACATAGAATATATAGTAGTTTCAATCCTTTGGAAACGTTTCGTCATTGGGTGAAACCACCCTCTTTCGAGTTGTAGCCATGGACACCAGCGGCCGTGTGCGCGACGGCACGGATGACTCCATGAACTCAGAACTTGGAAGAAAACGGTTACTTGTTACATTAAGTCACTGGGATTACCCTCTGGTCAACTAACATAATTTGCTATTGAAAATGGCTATAGAAATAGTTTACCCATTAAAAATGGTGAATTTCTGTAGCTATTTTAGTTTACCAGAGGGTATTAAATTTAAGGGAAACCTTACAGGAAACTATGGCTTGTACTTTGTACCATCATAGAGAGGGGCTTTGGCCCCGTAAGTTTTCCAACCTAGTCCTGGATCCAGAGAATATCCCCGAGGCTGCGAAGATCTGCATCTGCCTCGCACGCGCTGAAGACTGAACCTGGAGGGGAAGGAAAGTCTTTGGAGATCAAAGGCTTGGATGGATCCACTTTCGAGCTCCAGGTTGGCGATGCAACCGTCGAAGAAGTGTACAAAAACATTTCAGAGAAGATTGGGCTGAAACCAGGCAGGAAATTGTTGCTGACTTCGGGCTGCATTATGCTGGATTATTCCAGACCGATGCTGCAGCAAGTGCAGGGTGGGGAAATTAGTTTCATCGTCCAAAGAATCAGTTTGAATGACTTTGCAAAAAGCTTTTGGAACGCCATTGAAGCTGAGACCAAAGAAAGTCTGACTGCTGAAGATGTGCACACACTACATGCAGCTGCAATTGTTTCAATGCACTTCGGACCACGTTTCCATCAAAGCTTGGCAGGTGTCGCGTTGCCAAGCTGCCTGCAGACCTTGACCTTTGGGGATGAGTTCGATCAGAGTTTGGCCGGTGTCACGTTGCCAAGCTGCCTGCAGACCTTGACCTTTGGGGATGAGTTCGATCAGAGTTTGGCAGGTGTCACGTTGCCAAGCTGCCTGCAGACCTTGACCTTTGAGGATGAGTTCGATCAGAGTTTGGCAGGTGTCACATTGCCAAGCAGCCTGCAGGCCTTGACCTTTGGAAAGAGGTTCAACCAGAGCTTGGCAGGTGTCACATTGCCAAGCAGCCTGCAGGCCTTGACCTTTGGAAAGAGGTTCAACCAGAGCTTGGCAGGTTTCACATTGCCAAGCAGCCTGCAGACTTTGACCTTTGGGAATGGGTTTAGTCAGAATCTGACAGGTGTCACACTGCCAAGCAGTCTGCAGACCTTGACATTTGGGGAGGAATTCAATCAGAGTTTGGCCGGTGTCACATTGCCAAGCAGCCTGCAGACCTTGACCTTTGGGCGTGAGTTCAATCAGAGTCTGGCAGGTGTCACATTGCCGAGCCGCCTGCCGACCTTGACCTTTGGATTGTGGTTCAATCAGAGTTTGGCAGGTGTCACATTGCCAAGCAGCCTGCGGACCTTGACCTTTCGATTTCGGTTTAATCAGAGTTTGGCAGGCGTCACTTTGCCAAGCAGCCTGCGGACCTTGACCTTTCGATTTCGGTTCAATCAGAGTCTGGCAGGTGTCACATTGCCGAGCCGCCTGCAGACCCTGACCTTTGGTCATGAGTTCAATCAGAGTCTGGCAGGTGTCACATTGCCAAGCAGTCTGCAGGCCTTGACCTTTGGAGATTGGTTCGATCAGAGTTTGGCAGGTGTCACATTGCCAGGCAGCCTGCAGACCTTGACCCTCGGAAGTTCGTTCGATGAGAGTTTGGCAGGTACCACATTAATCCAAGCAGCATGTCAGCCTTGACTTTTGGGTCACTGTTGACTATTTTTTTGGACTCAGTTCATTGTCCTCATAGTGTGCGACAAATTTGTTGGCAGTTGGCAGAGTGCACTACTTAGACCTTTTCGAAGACCAAAAACTGGGAGATGGGCTGGTCAATGCGGAAGACATCACATTTATATTTAAAACAAAAAACACCCCCCATTGGGGTACCTAAATAAAATGAGGGGGCAGAAGCCCCTTTTGAAATAAAAAAAATAAAAATAAAATGAAAATACAATGGGTCAGACCCCAGCATTTTATTTTGTGGGTGCATTTTATTTTTTGAGGTGCCTAACCCATCAAGTTAACTGACAGAGATAGCATCATAGCAAAGATGCACAGCTGTGCGTCTTTGTGATGGCTGCCATCCACTAGAAATTGGGGGCCCCTAAGGCACCCGCATGAGGATTGCTATTCTTACCCTTGGGCACCCCATTTTTTTGTAGGATATATTCTTTCAATTTTCCAGACTAGGTCACTATAGTGCCTATATTGGGGGTTGGTTTGAGATGCCTGTTTTGGCTTGTCAATACTTACCACTTCCTGGCAGTTGGGGAAACAATCTATTCTGTACAGATCAGTTGGGTCTTGCCATTTTGGGGGTTTTCGGGTTTTCCTTCAAAGATGGTTAAAACCAATCAAAGAAGGAAACAAGACAAAACAAGATCAACCCAAAAGAAAATGCCGGAGCCCGAGGTCCAACAGTTGCAAAATGTAGGTCCAACAGTGGCCAGGTGGAGGGTGCCTGACGTCATTTTCTTTTTGTACCTGTCCATTGTGTTTTGCTTCGGTTTTCCTATCTTACCTTATGCCCTCTCATTTTATTGGCATTTTCTCCTTAGGCCCCTGCATTTTATTTTATTTTTTTAGGTGCCTCACCCCCCCCTGGCAACAGACGAGGGTAAAAAACATATAGTTTGAAACTACGAAGCAACAAGACATTGAATGGCGGATGGTCGCATCGTCGGTGCCGCAGCGTCTCAACCAGCAAGGGATCTGCCCCTGTAGTGTACAAATTCAGATGATTTCAGAGTTAAAGAAGTATCTCTACACCACACACATATCAAATATTTATCCACCTGGATGTAGATATATGTAGATGTATTTGACATTTGGATGCACATACTGGTACGTATACACACAGATATTGTATGGATATAACATAAATGATATTATATTGAATGCACAGCATCCAGTCCAATATACCTATTATATATATACTGTATATTATACCCATATTATATATTATATATATAATATACCCATACATATATAATATGCCTCTATATATAATATATACCTATCTTATATATATATATGTGATTATACAACATAGAATATATAGTAGTTTCAATCCTTTGGAAACGTTTCGTCATTGGGTGAAACCACCCTCTTTCGAGTTGTAGCCATGGACACCAGCGGCCGTGTGCGCGACGGCACGGATGACTCCATGAACTCAGAACTTGGAAGAAAACGGTTACTTGTTACATTAAGTCACTGGGATTACCCTCTGGTAAACTAACATAATTTGCTATTGAAAATGGCCATAGAAATAGTTTACCCATTAAAAATGGTGAATTTCTGTAGCTATTTTAGTTTACCAGAGGGTATTAAATTTAAGGGAAACCTTACAGGAAACTATGGCTTGTACTTTGTACCATCATAGAGAGGGGCTTTGGCCCCGTAAGTTTTCCAACCTAGTCCTGGATCCAGAGAATATCCCCGAGGCTGCGAAGATCTGCATCTGCCTCGCACGCGCTGAAGACTGAACCTGGAGGGGAAGGAAAGTCTTTGGAGATCAAAGGCTTGGATGGATCCACTTTCGAGCTCCAGGTTGGCGATGCAACCGTCGAAGAAGTGTACAAAAACATTTTAGAGAAGATTGGGCTGAAACCAGGCAGGAAATTGTTGCTGACTTCGGGCTGCATTATGCTGGATTATTCCAGACCGATGCTGCAGCAAGTGCAGGGTGGGGAAATTAGTTTCATCGTCCAAAGAATCAGTTTGAATGACTTTGCAAAAAGCTTTTGGAACGCCATTGAAGCTGAGACCAAAGAAAGTCTGACTGCTGAAGATGTGCACACACTACATGCAGCTGCAATTGTTTCAATGCACTTCGGACCACGTTTCCATCAGAGCTTGGCAGGTGTCACGTTGCCAAGCTGCCTGCAGACTTTGACCTTTGGGAATATGTTCAACCAGAGTTTGGCAGCTGTCACATTGCCAAGCAGCCTGCAGACCTTGACCTTTGGAGAGAGGTTCAACCAGAGCTTGGCCGGTTTCACATTGCCAGGCAGCCTGCAGAGTTTGACCTTTGGGCATGAGTTCAATCAGAATTTGGCAGGTGTCACATTGCCAAACAGCCTGCAGACCTTGACCTTTGGGCATGAGTTCAATCAGAGTCTGGCAGGTGTCACATTGCCAAGCAGCCTGCTGACCTTGACCTTTGGGTATGGGTTCAATCAGAGTTTGGCAGGTGTGACATTGCCCAGCAGCCTAGAGACCTTGACCTTTGGGCAGAATTTCAATCAGAATTTGGCAGGTGTCACATTGCCAAGCAGCCTGCTGACCTTGACCTTTGGGGATTTTTTTCAGAGTTTGGAAGGTGTCACATTGCCAAGCAGCCTACAGAACTTGACCTTTGGGCCAGGTTTCACAATACCATTGGGGAATGTCAACTGGACCTTTGGATTTTCGCTTGATCAGAGTTTCGCCGGTGTAACATTGCCGAGCAGTCTGCAGTCCTTGACCTTAGGAGATTGGTTCGATCAGAGTTTGGAAGGTATCACATTGCCAAGCAGTCTGCAGACCCTGACCTTTGGGAATATGTTCGACCGGAGTTTGGCAGCTGTCACATTGCCAAGCAGCCTGCAGACCTTGACCTTTGGAGAGAGGTTCAACCAGAGCTTGGCCGGTTTCACATTGCCAGGCAGCCTGCAGACTTTGACCTTTGGGAATATGTTCAACCAGAGTTTGGCAGCTGTCACATTGCCAAGCAGCCTGCAGACCTTGACCTGTGGAGAGAGGTTCAACCAGAGCTTGGCCGGTTTCACATTGCCAGGCAGCCTGCAGACTTTGACCTTTGGGAATATGTTCAACCAGAGTTTGGCAGCTGTCACATTGCCAAGCAGCCTGCAGACCTTGACCTTTGGAGAGAGGTTCAACCAGAGCTTGGCCGGTTTCACATTGCCAGGCAGCCTGCAGAGTTTGACCTTTGGGAATACGTTCGATCAGAGTTTGGCAGGTGTCACATTGCCAAGCAGTCTGCAGACCCTGACCTTTGGTCGGCAGTTCAATCAGAGTCTGGCAGGTGTCACATTGCCAAGCAGCCTGCGGACCTTGACCTTTGGAGATGGGTTCGATCAGAGTTTGGCAGGTGTCACATTGCCAAGCAGTCTGCAGACCCTGACCTTTGGGTGCTTTTTTCAGAGTTTGGAAGGTGTCACATTTCCAAGCAGCCTGCAGAACTTGACCTCTGTGCCAGGTTTCACATTGCCATTTAATTTTAACTGGACCTTTGGATTTTCGCTTGATCAGAGTTTCGCCGGTGTCACATTGCCGAGCAGTCTGCAGTCCTTGACCTTAGGAGGTTTGTTCGATCAGAGTTTGGCAGGTGTCACATTGCCAAGCAGTCTGCAGACCCTGACCTTTGGTCCGCAGTTCAATCAGAATTTGGCAGGTATCACTTTGCCAAGCAGCCTGCGGACCCTGACCTTTGGGCATGAGTTCAATCAGAGTCTGGCAGGTGTCACATTGCCAAGCAGCCTGCAGACTTTGACCCTTGGAAGTTCGTTCGATGAGTGTTTGGCAGGTGTCACATTGCCAGGCAGCCTGCAGACCTTGACCCTCGGAAGTTCGTTCGATGAGAGTTTGGCAGGTACCACATTAATCCAAGCAGCATGTCAGCCTTGACTTTTGGGTCATTGTTGAATATGTTTTGGACTCAGTTCATTGTCCTCATAGTGTGCGACAAATTTGTTGACTGTCGGCAGAGTGCGCTACTTAGACCTTTTCGATGACCAAAAACTGGCAGATGGGCTGGTCAATGCGGAAGACTCTTTGCAGCCTCTTGTTAAAAAATCTTTGTGTACCGTTCGATATCCAAAACATTCTAACATTTGGGTACCAATCGTAAACTTTGGCCCCGTTCCCACGCTGCTTTTTTTGTGCAACATTGTTTGTTTGTTGTTGGTGGCTGCACCCGTATCTATGCGTTTGCTGACCAACTTCATAGTTTGATAGGTTATACATGTCTCATCAGTGTCCTGCAGTCGTGTACTTTGTCTACATTTGATGGAAATAGATGGAAGTGACTTATTCAAAAACTTGTGTCACTGTTGATTGTTTGCCGACGGATCAAATCACACGGCATGAACATCCTGATTTTACAGGATGATCGTATTCAAACTTGTTACCCATTTGTTGGCTCTTGGATCAACTATGATTCTTGATTTTAACATATCTGTAGCACAGTATTATATACTATCTCCATAATCCTCAAGTCTATTCTTCAAGCGCTTCCGGTCCCAGAGAACTATCATAGTCATGTAGAAAACTCGAAAAGCATGGTATCCTGCACGACTTTTGCCTGGAACCAAGATGCGCATGTTGTAAGAAGAGGATTTCCCAATGCCATTATAATAATAATATAATAATATATATATGTTTGTGTGTATCTTAGTTTTGAGTTTGAAGATGTTGTCGAACAAGAAAAATCATAGACGATGCATTTCATTGAACCGGAGGGGGTGGATATGGTTCAATATGATTCAATCAAACGAAATTGGGATATAAACATTGAAAACAATGTTGATGGGTATGTCATGGGTATAATCATGGGATATAAGCCATCATAGGGTATATAAACCATGTTCCAAACATACATAGGGCCACAGGATATGAAACCAAACATGGGGTCGGTCAATCACGACTGGACCGTCACAATGGGCATGATGAAAACACCCAACTGAGCCATTAAAACTGATTAATTACCCTGGTTGATTGGTCAATATATAGGGAATTATACTACCTAATTTATTGGGGGTTATGAGAACCTATAGGAGGGACCTATCAACAAATGTAATTATGAGATGGGTTAGTTGTCCTTTCTTTTTGGTTCAGCTAACCACTTGGGTGGTTTTCTGCCATGGCAGCAGGGTGAATTGATACGTCCATACCCTTTGTAAAGCCTTTAGACCATGTGTTGATGTTACCCTGTGGTGATCAAACATGGCTAGCTGGGAAATCCGCAAGAAATCAGTTTTTTTTTAAGCTGGGAAAAGAATCTATCAAATGTAAATATATAGGATTTTCATGAATTTTCCATTGCCACGTTTGATTATGGAAGGGTAAACACCACAAACATGAGGATGATGATCATGCGGAAGTAAGTTGCTGAAAGAAGGAACAACTATGATTCATGAATGCGTACTGTATGACCAACTGTTATATATATAATGGTGATGTAACCTGTAGCAACTTGTGCATCAGCAATGATGCACATACTTGTCCGCGTTGTTTCTACATGGATATTCAGCCGATGTTTATCCAGGGCTGGAGCATTTTCCGAAGTCTATGTGATGTCCCCCCTTGGAGGTGTACAATGCACCCATCAATCTCAGGACCTGGGACGAACACATGACCAAGTGCGTGAAGTACATCGTTATGGAGAGAAGCTATGCTGAAACAATTCTTAAGTCGGTTTTATGTGTTTTTCCCCACCTGTCAGGTGAGGGTTGTTAGATTTTCTGTCAGCTGTCCCGCCCGCCTCCCGCCTCCCGCCTTCTGCTCCACCTCCTCCGCCGGACCTCAACTGCAACCTCAACTGCAAGCTCTTGATTGCAGTGGTCCCCTCAACTGCAAGCTCTTGATCGCAGTGGTCCCCGCCGGACCTCAACTGCAAGCTCCGGATCAGAGTGGTCCCTGCCGGAGCTTAACCGCGAGCTCCGAGTGTTCCCCCCCGGACTTCAACCACAAAGAATCTCCGAAGATATACCAGATAGAATGCCAGAAAGAAAGTCAGAATATATATGTATATATGTAGAGATATGCCAGAAAGTATGTCAGAATAGATGCCAGATAGAATGTCAGAAAGAATGTCAGAATATATGCCAGAAAGAATGTCAGGTAGAATGTCCGAATACACTTCCAGATGGTATGTCAGAAACTATGTCAGAAAGTGGGGATCACTTGAAGAAAGTTTTTTTTCCTTCGACATGGTGAACTAATTCATTTAATGAATTTGACGGTTAGATTTTCATTACAGTTATGGCCCGAAATACCAGTTATAAGTACTGAACTAACCCCATTTATAGAATGTATAATCCCATAGAAATCACCAGTTATAACTAATAGCCATGGCCATGTCCCTGTAAATGGTGACGCAGCCCTGGTTTTCTACCGCCAAGTAGGTGACGGTCGGTGCCCAAAAGAGTTGGACTTATCGTGTGAACAAGGCACCCCTGAACAATGCCCAACATATCAGGAATATGATGTTATATAGTATCATGATTGATGGTTATATATCAATAGTATCAATAGTATCATGATACTAAATGAGACTAATATTAACCATATTCCTGATACTATATCAATCATGATTGATGGTTATATATCAATGATACTATTGATTATAGTCGATTAATACGGGTATGGTTAATGATACCCAAACCAATTGATTAATCAAGTGTCATCAGCTATCCAATATGGATATGTTATTTTTTCCAATGCCCAATGATATTGTACCATTGATAATCTAATATGGATGACTACAGCTTGGTCAAACAGATGAAACACTTGGGATGATGGTCACTTTAAACGCAGGTGTCATAGGCAAAAAATGCATGATATACTCAAATTGTGGGATTGTCACCGATCCACTTATAGGGAATTATATATATATATATATCCATTGTGTTTGGAATCCGTGGAGTTCTATTCATGATGGTGGGATGACCATAAACCACATATATATATACATGATTTATTGTCCGTGGTATATATGAACCAGTAAAAATACACCTGTTGATTAGTATATATATATAATGGTTTATACTACCAGGTTTATCAGGGATTATTGCTACTCACAATGGAAATAAACATAAATAAACCATTAGAATGGGACTGGGATAGGGGTGTTTTGCGTGGTTTATGTGCCTGGATAAAGTACAACGACCTCACGTCGCGACCTCAATGATGGAATGATGGTGAATGCAGGGGCTAGCTATCCCAAAACAGTTTTTATTTCAGATTGGTGAATTATTGTAGTTTACCTAGAGGCATCACTAATTTTCCCACTATTTCCCTATGTTGTTCCCTATTATTCCCGCGTTGTTTTCACTATTTTCCGCGTTGATTGGCCACTTCATACCTTGGTTCCACCGGTCCAACTGAGGACAGCGTGGTGCTGCGTGGAAAGACATCTACCAGTCGCCAGGCGACACGGCGACGCCACGAGTTGGTCAAATTTCCATAGCCATGGGGATACATAGCTGGATGGTTTATTTCATCGAAATTCCTATTCAAATGATTTCAAATGGGTGTTTTTTTTCCTGGGGGTACCCCCATTTGAATGGAAAACTCCATTTGAATTTCGGATTGGAAAACATGAAGATAAACCCATTGGGATTGGATGCGATACTTTTGGAACATGGTGCAACATGGAGGATTTGTTGGAAACCGTGGATCTACCAAGTGAAAAAATCCATGTTCAAAACAGAGTAAGTTTCTGAGTGGTACATTTTTTTCAGTCCCTAGTCCTTTGAAATCCCCAAGAGCCGACCATTGATCATGTTGTATTCTTGATTACACCAGATCATACAATGATATACAATGTAAATCCATGTGACACCCCCATGAATCCTATAAACACACGTACACATAGTAAAATGATTTTCGTACGGTATCCTTTTCCTTTCCTCTTGTTATTTGTTTGCATTTCTGCCATGACCTAAAGCCAGTGGAAGGACTTCAATGGTGATGACCTTCATCCACACCATTGGATTTCTTACAAAAAACGCCAAGTTCTAGTGTTCTCTAGGGTCCCGAATTTCAGGAACTCCACTTACAAAGCCGGCCCGCACAATCACAAGTTGGTTTTATTTCGCTGTTTGAACCAAGTACAGTATATAATAATTTATACATATATATACATTATGTATATATTATATTCTATTCTATTCTATTATATTGCATTATATTATATTATATTAAATTATATTATAGTATATTATATTATATTATATTATACTATTTTTAATAGTATATAATATAGTGAAAACAGTAAACCATCCCAACTCCAGGAACCAGGCATCCGCCCACTTTTCAACCAGGCTACCTTCGCTGCGGATCGCTGCACCACCTCTGCATGTACGATCCAGCGTTGTGGGGCCTGCCGCTCGGTGAAAACGGTGGAAAATGGGAATGGGACACCCAAATCATGGTGAAAATGATCTGGGTAAATTATAATATTTCACTAACCTGAATTAAGGCCATTTGGGGATGATTCCCCTTATTGACTATGATTCCAGTGAGGTCGCAGTGAGGTCGTTATAATTTACCCAGAAATTATGGTGATCACCCAAATCATTACCATTCTAATAGGGAACATATGATGATAAAATTGATAAACCATCATGGAGTTTTTCGGGGTAGCCTATTTTGAAATCCATAAATATCATAAACGGGTTTGTATGAGCACTTGCTGAAAGCGGTTCATGATGTATGTTATTTTCCCCAATTTTTCATGCATCCCTCCAAGTCATGGTTTGTCCGTTGTGGCATGAATGATGCACCAGCAAATACTACTGGTAGAAGATGGTACCCGCCAGTCATGTCGGTTTATGTTCACACTATGAACTTGTTATAACTTATTGTTGAATACATCGACTATACGATAGTTTCTTCTAATGATAATCCAAACTTGGCGAACACACATGAACCCCGCCCCATTGTGTCTAAGAAACCAAAACTCACTAAGCATTTGTGAAAACTCTCAGGGCCCAGTGCGATCCCAACAACGCAGCCTGGTGGAAAGACTCCTTCGCGCAGTGTCTTGGTGAATGTGTCGCCGGGTATACCCCATAAAATGCAAAGTTTCTACATTTGTTTGGGAATCAATACAGTATAACGACCCCAAAAAAGTAGAAACCTTGAATAAGTATGAATAAATAAGATAGAACATGATGGAACTATTGAGCAGTAATTTTCCACTATAGTTTAGTAGGATTTGGCTTCTAACGTATCACATTGTTTCTTGGGGGGACTCTACTGCTCCTTTTGAAACTTCTGGGGAATTCGTCATTTTCTGCGACCTCGGACGTTGAAGCACCACAAAGAATGGTGAAGGATGAGTTAAACCCATGACACATGCCACCAAAATCCTTGAACATATGGTGAAATATGGTGAATATGAGGATTTTACGATGATTTTCCGATGAATTGATGATCTGTTTCTGGCCACCCTTGGCATTTCCATCAGCCTGAACTAAAGTGATCAGTGACTTCGATCGGAATACGCTGTACGGCGCGTCCAGGTATGCGGTGGCTGATGGCATGGCAGCCGCCAGTTCCTCTGTGAACACCGTGGATTTCGTGATTTCCGTAGGGGACAACTTCTATCTGCGAGGGGTGATGGATGAGTTCGACCTCAACTGGCGATACATGCTGCTTGGACTCATAGGCGATTGGTTGCACAGCTGATTTCGTGGGGCAAATGCTGGTAGCTGCTGATAGCCATGGACATATAGCGACTTATTGATTGGGTGTATATTATATATATATATTATATACACCCAACAAAATGGTATAGTTTACAGCCTAAAATTACCAACATCCAACATCTTTGATTGATTCTACGGGTCCAACTTGACTAAAGCGACTTCAGAATCGCCAAAGGGAGAGAACATTGCGCTTGTTGCCAGGGGGACCTGCAGAATCCAGTCATTCCATGGTTTTTATTCGACGTTGGGTCAAAGTTTATAGACATCCGAAATACCACCTCTTCTGACACCAAGATGATCTCGACCCTGTTCATCATTCTTATCTGGTTGGTGGTTTGGAACATGTATTTTTTATTTTTCCATATATTGGGAATGTCATCATCCCAACTGACGAACTCATATTTTTCAGAGGGGTTGAAACCACCAACCAGTTATTGCTTGGCAGGTAGAATTTCGGGGACGTGGATTTATTAGCCTGTTACAGATGGAATCCACTTGGTTTACCCGTCAAAGTTTTTGGTCCCTGGGGGGGAATATGTGACGGGTGACGCTACAATTGTCCCATTCACATTTTTTACTTCAAGGATATGCCATATCTTTAGCCTTTGAGTTCCATTTTCCCTTCAGATTCTCCAACCTCCATTATTTTCCCATCTTTTCCCATCTTCAACATATGAAACATCCATTTCCCCCTTAAACAATTGCCCGGCATGAGATGATTGACCCATATTATTCCATATTATTCCCATCTTCCAACCATCTTCCAACCATCTTCCAACCATCTTCCAACCATCTTCCAACCATCTTCCAACCATATTATTCCATACCCATAGGATCCATGTATGGAATATTTACCAACATTTGCCCCATATATGACCCAAATGTAGGCAAATATACCAATATATACCAGCACCATGGATCCTATGGGATATATTTTATGCCATTTTCACATCTCCAAAAAGATTCAGAAAAAAAATGTCACGCATGAGTCCCTAGGTCCCTCCGGGTATATGGATTATCTAGTCCCTAGACCATGACTATTTTATCTCATGGGACTCACGCATGACTCAGGTTCGAAGAGGTCTATCACCATGAGTCCCTCCAGGTTCCGTGGCTCAATGTCACTTCGGCACAGTATCATCCCATGAAGCCGACAGAAAATTTTCCATGGGGATTCGACAAAAAAAAGGGCTGGGATTTAATGGGATTTAATGGGATTTTATAGTGATTTAATGGGATTTATAGTGATTTAATGGGATTTAATGGGATTTAATGGGATTTTATAGTGATTTATATAGTGATTTATAGTGATTTAATGGGATATCATAGTGATCATCGAAAAAAAATGGATGAAATCTATGATTTCTTTCCAAATGATCTACTGATGGGTATTTTGTTTATGAGTTTGATATCTTCTACTGAGCTTTCGGCGCAAATGGCGATGAGTTGGTGGGTTTCATATTGAAACCTGCGGAGCATGCAGACGTTTGAATGTGTTTAAGTAACAATATATACTTGAGTCATCTTAAATCCTCTTAAAAAATCAATATACTGTAACATATATTATTGTTTAAGTAACAACATATATGTTTGGTACTATACATATCAAATCAATTCAATTCGGAGTTCATAGTTTAGGGCCTCTCGATTCGTTCCAACCATGTAATTAAGCGAGTTCTTCAACCATTACCACTATTCGTTTTGGTTCTCCCACCCACACAAGGAGGATACTTTGAGCTGATCAAACGGGTCCATATCCAGTTTTTGGTGGCAAGGGAAACTCCCCTACAACCTACAAATGGATGCTTTAGTGGAAAAATCAACCAGAAATGCAGAATTTTCCAGCCATGACCATGTTTGATGATCCATGATCTCCAGAATCTCGGGGCACCTGAAAGGTGCTTAACCCTAAAACATATCCCAAAACTAACCCTATGTTGCCTAGCAAATCCCCATTATGGGATATAACCCATATATAAGCCATATATAACCCATATATAAGCCATATATAACCCATATATAAGCCATATATAACCCATATATAAGCCATATATAACCCATATATAACCCAATATATAACCCATATATAACCCATACATAACCCATACATAACCCTTTCATAACCCATAAAGTTGGGAAAATCCTCAGACATCTCCTAGGTCCTGGGGAACCACGACTACGGTGGCCACGAGTGCGACGGCTGCCTCTTTGAGGGCGGCACCGGTGGATGTAGCGATGCGCAGATCAGCTACGACGATGAGAAGTCCTGGGAGTTCCCAGTGCCTTGCGCGCCGAAGTGATCCGAAGGGTCCAGGGATCGGTCGTCGCCATGGTTGACTAACACGGTCCGACTGACTTGGCATGATTTTTTTGGGATATGTTGGGGGTCAAATTTGTTCGGACATGTTCTAGAAGTATAATAATTGAACAACTGGATGTTTGCATAATTTTCCAAATGATTGTTATTCTAGACATTATTGAGAAACGATGCCTTGTAAGAAGCCCCCAAGACGTGTGTTTCTGCATCAGTATAATCCCTTGTTCAAGGAACCAGCACTACATTGACTCAGCCGCTGAGATGCTAAACTTGTTGGGTTGACCTTCCAGAATCCTGTCAGAGATCCAGAGAACCCACACTTCTCTGGTGGATTTGAATCCCCGCAGTTTGTGTCATGTGCAATGTTTAGACACTGCATGTTGTTGTTGTTGTTGTGGTGGTGGTGGTTGTTGTTGTGGTTGTGGTTTGTTGTTGTTGTTGCTGCTACTTGTATGATCTTTTTTTCTGTGTTTTAAGACCGGAGCCACGCCAATTCTTGAAATCCCTCAGTTGTTACCACTCTGCCCGCAACTTTGCCACTTTGCCTGAGGCACCCAAACGGTGCCTTGGCCGTGTATTTTGGGCTCGAAGTTCATAGTTTTGATGTTCCCAAAGTACTACCGCTAGTAAGGTGAATGGTGAATCATTTTGCAGTTTCCCATAGGCCGAGGTAAATTGTAGCGACATCACTGGCCAACCTCACCATAGATGACAATTAGGAAGGGTGTGTTCTTCTTGGTTTATTGGTTTAGTTCGTAATTATTTCATGAATCCTGATGGAGAACATGTTTCATTCTCACCCAAGTTTTATTTCTGATTTGGGAAAAGCAACTAATGTGAGTAGAACAACAATAAACCATCCCCCAGTCATCACCATTTTTAATGGTGGTATAAACTTACCATTCCCAGTCAGTCGGGTGGGAAGTAAAAATGGCATTGTTTTACCCACATGGGCCGCCAAGGAAACGCTGGGTCTTGCCCAAGAGGTACTACAAGAAGTCCTTCAAGTACCAGGTGAGTTCCAGTGGGTCCACCTAGAGGTAGGTGAATCATGGTGATTTAATGGTGATTTAATGGTGGTTTAATGGTGATTTAATGGTGGTTTAATGGTTGATGGTCAGTGAATTTGGGGTTGGTCAGTGGGCGAATGATGGTTGATGATGGTTTATGATGGTTGATGTTTGATGATGGTTAATGGAATGGTGTGTATGAATTGGATAATGGCTGATATGGAGTAGTCTAGTGTGCCCATAGATGGGGAAATCAACTGGCCATGACTGACCCACGCCATTTGGCTCCTGTGTGGTCAATGATGAGATGATGTATTCAAAAAATCATTGCTTTACCATCAACCCTTCCCAATCAAGTTGCCACAAGTTGGGGGTATACACCATTTGTCCATCCCCAAGTATCAGATTGTTGGTGATATTGCATGAACTTATATCATACATTGCATCTCCATCGCTTGTCAGGTCGGTGGTTTAACACATTTTTTATTTTCCATAATATATGGGATGTCATCCTTCCCATTGACGAACTCATATTTTTCAAGATGGTTTTTTTTCACCAACCAGTTGTTGATATCAATGGATTGGTTTAAGGGAAAAATTACAGGAAAACCCCATATTTTAATGGTAAAAACCATGGTTTCCTGTAAAATTTCCCTTAAACCAATCCAGTGATGATACTGGCACTGCCACCTTTTTGTTGGTTGGACTTCCCCGCAATGGGACTGCCATGGACTGCCATGGAGGACTTTAGCATCGACGTCTTTGCCATCGATTCCAACTGGGTGTTGCTTGGCTGGGTCAACCTTGATCCATGCTTTAAAAAAGACACGTTGTTTAAATGTATTTAATCTGTTATTACTTACAACCATTTACAAACCATTATATATATAGATTTATATAACATGATATAATTATACATTATATGATATAACATAAGAACTTTGGGTGTACGGTATTTAGGTTAATACATGTTCATACATGTTGTTAATATACGTATTATTAATGCATGTCAATACATGTTAATGCATGTTAATGCACACTAATACTATTTTGTCGACTGTTTTTTAAATATCGGTTGGAAGTACATGAAGGAACATATATTACTCACCTAAAGATCGTTGCCATTGCAACACTTATCCATGTTCCTCTGGGACCAGGCTTTCAAATGGGGAACAAAAAAGGGGACTTGCACATCGTTGATTTGGATCTGAAACCGCGGAAAAAAAGTGGTCAACGGCTTTTAGCCACACCGACTCACTCCAAAGCTGTTTACCTCCAGAGTCAACCAGCCGGACCCGTCAAATTAGACACCCAAGTTCATCCTGGTCCTGGTCGGCTGCAGGTAGCCTTTTGTCAGAATTTGTCTCAATATCTCCCCATGCTTAAGATATGTATCCCCAGTCTTAAGATATGTGTTCTTTGGTTTTCGTATTCTTGCCGGTTATGATCCAGATGGATTTGTTGCTTCCATGGGAAATCCACCGAAACATCCCCTTCGCCGGTCACGACGTCAGGAATTCGCATTCGCTGTGCCACGGTCAGAGCAAGATCACCTCAGAGAAGGTTTGTGACTTGGCAGAGGCGGCAGAGGCGGCAGAGGCGGATGGAAAATGCTGGTTGTTTAGCAACGTTGAACATGTGGAGACAAAAACCTGGTGGTTTCAGACATGGGGATTCAAACCAGAAACATGTGGGAAACATATATGGAAACATGGGTTTTGAATTTTTGAATAGCAAACATGTTTTGAAATGGGGCGAAAGAAAATGTGCCAACCTTGATGGATGAGAAGTTAAGGATCGCACCTTTGCGGTGGAATCGACCCAGGATTTTTCTAAATAAATCCCAGTATAAGTCCCATGCAGTAGAATCTAGTAGATTCCTGAACAAAATCCCAAATATCATAAATCAACATAAATCATCAGACATCATATGGTAGAACAAACATCATCATCATCAATCTATATCCCAAAATATCTTTACACATCTGAAATAATTCTTCCGAAACATATGTAAAAATCCCGCCCGAGGCAATGCGGCGCAGTGCGAGACCTTTTATCAGAAGACCTACGCGGCGCAGCTGCAATGGCTCCGGGAGGAACTGCCGAAGTCCAATGCCACGTGGTGCCGCGGCAGGGGGTGGCGCCAAGGAAGCAACAAACATTGAGGGTGGTTGAACCAAGAAATGTGTAGGTTCAATCTGTTTTTAAGCAGCGACACCAGGAAATATGAACCTTGATTTTATTGGATTTGAAAGGGATTGAATGGCATTTAACCATGAAAACTGATGCGAAATAGAGATGACATCATGAATCATGGAGGATTAAGCAACTGAAATGGGGGTTCAAGTGTTCAAGCCTCAAACCGAGTGAATTGCAAATCAGTATAGATAAACTTAAGGTGATATGTGGAGACTTTTGAATTATCCAATAGACCTTGCTTTTTTTACTCTCAAATGTTTTTTTTCAGAAACAAAACTTGTGGGTCTGGAAACCTTTGTGAGTCCAACATAAATGTCACCAAATAAGATGATGATGATGATGATGATGATGATGATCTTTCTTTAAAAAAAAACTGGGTTGTGACATTGCAAGACCAAACAAATCCATCAATAGTTCATTCATATCCCATGAATATTCCATGGATATCCCAATCATATTCCACCATTAAGAAGCCACTAAAACTGATCATCCTGTCAGGCGTTTTTTTGGGTAACGTCCACAGTCTTGACCCACACCAGGGATGCTGATCGCTTCGAATCACTCCCATCGAAAGTTGGGAACATGCTTGACGTTGAGATGACGCTAATATGACCGGGATATCGTTGTTCGGATATAACTACAGTTGGGATGGCTTTTAAAGAATCACCTGGTTTTGTTCCATGGATTTTTGCATCTTTGGGATGGCAAAAAAAAACACCACTTTTACAGTGCCAGGATGCCGCGCGCCTTACCACCGTTCTCAGGAAGTGGGTGGTGGGACATCATCCCTGTGAAATGCTGGGCAGCTTGGACTGCACGCGGAAGTGGGAATAGCCTCTGGTAATGACTAACATATATTAACATAGCTATCGAACATGATGATAGAAATAGTTGATTTACCCAGCTATAAAATGGTGATTTTCCATAGTTTTTTGTATGTTTACTCTTGGGTAATAGGTTCTTTTTACATCTTTTGACCCATCCCCATGTCATGTGGATCAGCTACTGGGACCTGGTTCGGAAACGTCAACGAAGTGCGGAACCCAACCGTTGTTGTAAAGAATTTTCTGGCATGTTCTGGCCATAGATTATTAGCTGATGATTCTGTTCACATGTTGTGGTATCAATTGATCAGTACGCGGCTTTTTTTTGTGTATCTTCAAAGTTCAACAGTTTAGACCCTGGCAGATGTTTGTGGAACTTATATATATATATATCATCATCACAACCATCACAATCATCCACTTTGAAAGTTCAGCAGCACTCCCTCCAATCGTACATGACTGCTGCCTTGGGCCTTGGGCCTTGAGGCGATGTGATGTTAAAGCTCTTTGCGTCACCCGGCTGGGAGCCGGATGGACATGATTCCGATCGCAGATATATTCCGAATGCAAGGGTTTATGGTAAATATTACTAGTATAGCTAAAGGATCTTATAAACCAACTTATAACATCTTAGGGGCACCACCTTGTGATGGTATTCGATGATTATTAATTGTTATAGTCATGATTGAGGATACATCTACTATTGATTATAATGTATGAATCCCCTTAGGAATTTCCTCTATAAAATGGGGAATATCCACCGGATAAGAGCATTTTTTGATACACATGGTATCTCTCATTTTTAGGGCTCGAGTGTAGTCCCCGATTTTATACATATTTTTGGGGGGTCAGAGCAGCATTTTATAGTAATGTTCACCTCCTGGGTGACAGCCACGTACAACGTCATAGGTTCCCATTCTGTAGAGACCATGTATACTCTGGAAAACCGCAATTTTCCAACGTCGTGGGTTCCCATTTTATAGTGATAAATGACCTGTGCAAGATCATGCAAGGAGCGCTTAGACAATGTCAGCAAGATTTTCACAAGATCTTCTCATAAGGACCTGTACAAGATCATGCAAGGACCTCTTTGAGGATTTCATCTGGATCTTCAAAACATCGGGGACCTCTACAAGACCTTGGCCAAAATCTTCACAAGAAACCAGCATTTTTTCCAAAGCTTGATCTCGCACTCTTAGAGGAAGCCTCGCGCGAGGGCTTCGTTGTCACATCTTAAATGCGCACTCTTTGGGGGAAGTCTCGCCCAAAATGGGCACAGTAAGTCATGTATGACTATGAACCATACAATGATTGTTCCCATCGAACTGTATAGGCACTAATGTGTTGTAAATATTTTGTATGTAGGGTCTGACTTACCCTGATCCCGAGGCACCCTTCTGTGGAAAGGGTGAAGTGGAGTATAAGTAGTGAGCCCTGCATGGTGGTATCCTGTAGCTAGTTTATAGGTAGTATCTTGCTAGCACTTAGGAGTATAGCATACGACCCTCACGCCCCATGTGGGATGGGTGGGTGAGGGTAGAGGTATCATGTATATAGATAGTTTGTGGATTGTAAGCTGCTAGCACCTACTTTTAGCATACGACCCCCACACCCCAACCTCTAAAGTATATATATATATGTAGGTAGTGGATAGGTAATACGTGGCTAGCATTTATGTATAGCATATGAGATCTTGACAATAATGACCAAAATAAATTGTTTGTAGGGTGTAGCTTGGCCCCACGGTCCCCCCTCCCTCTGGCATGTGTGGGGGCCGGCATAGAGGTAGTGAAAAAGTGCATGGAAGTACGTATGTAAAGTATAACTTGTGGGATCCTATATGTCCAGGCCACCCCCACGAGGGGGGGATGTGGGGGATACCATAGCGGGGAGGGATTTATACTTAAAAATACTTCTATATATATATATTATATACCTGTTCGTACTTTTTATATACTTGTAAATTACACATGTGTGTATATATATAATATTGATATATGTTTTTTTAATGATATAATATATATATATATACAAAGTATTCACATATACTTTTATATCTAATATACAGATATATACAGTAGATATATTCAGAGAGAGATATACATATATATATATATATATTTGAACTTGGTATACATGTTCAGTTTTACCGATTTCATAATGGGCATGTTTTCAAGGAATAAAATCATGTTCGATACTGGTGTGATTATCCCACTTGAAAAACATCAGTTTGTTTGACTGTTGACTGTTCTGCGAGGGTTAAAAATAGAGAAACACCACCTTTTGACCACAATGGAAGTTTGTGCTTGCGAGATTTGTGTTGGATTCGCGCGCTTGAAATAGCCGTTGCAAAGAAGGGTGAACTCCATCACAATGTGGATGCATGCATAGAGTATATGATGTAGCAAATAGTAATCCCACAAAAATAAAAGAATGTGTAACCTGGATGGTCTAGATGATATTCACCTCCTATTTGCAGGTTTCCAACGTTTCGGCATCTATTTTGGGGTTGTTTCCCAGGTCCCACCATGGCAAAGCCAGCCTGGAACCCACCAGGTCCAACGGGGTGTCGCTGATCTTTGCCGGACATGTGCATCAACTGCGTTTGGATCGTGTGAAGGATGTGTGGCTTGGTGAAGAGTGAGGAGTGGGTTGGTGATGTCAGGGGAAAATGGAATGCAGAAATCATGGACCAGAACATGTAGTTTTTGTTTAACGTTGTGTAATTGTTTTTTTTTAAATGATTTTTTCATGTGGGACTGAAGGGATATACCCTGGGGGTAAAAGAAACATGTGGAAAAACCATCGATTTCCGGTCGGAGATGATTTGTTTTTTTGGTAGGTTGTCCACATCTGTGTTATTTTCCGTTGCATCCCAAAATTTGGAAAATAACTATAACACATGGAAAATAGCTATAACACATGGAAAATCACTATAACATTTGAATGGATAGTTTGATCCTTTAATGTTTTATTACACATGGAAAAAATAACCAGCCAACCAGCAACATTTTTTTTTTGTGAACTACCAAGGACAGGAGGGTAACCAAGGAAACATGGAAAAATGATTGTATAAACAGTAGAAAGCAACAACAGTGATGATATAATCGTGATAAAATGCGGAACATATCATAAAATAATGTTAGTCTTCTTGAATTGCCATGATTGGGGGCATGCCGATTTTTCAAGTGGGGTGGTGTTTCAACCGCTGGATGATTGGGGATGATTTCCACAACAAAGAAGTGGCCCAGCAGCTTAGATGTACCTAGGATCCTGCACCCTGTTGGGAGGATCCTGGGAAAAGTCATTTTTCATACGAAATACCAGCAATGGATGGGAATTTCAGGGTATGACCAACTGTTTGAATGGGACTTCTATGGGATATGACCCGGGGAAAGCAATCATTTGATGTGGACAAATACCATCACCATCCAAACATTGTAGTTTCTTCCGACATTTGGACACAATTGGTAATTTGTGTAGCTACATGTAGGTCAATACTATAGCAATTATATGGCATATGTGGATGATATGCATAGTGTATATATATATATATATACATACATAATATCTTATATATATATATATGTATATATATATATGTATATATATATATATGTTATATATGTTATATATGTTATATATGTTATATATGTTATATATGTTATATATGTTATATGCTGAAATTCATCATATTTGGGTGGACATGGCCCCAGCCCTTCGGTGCCCCTTTTTGTCTTTTCAGCCCGGCGCAGTCGTCTGAGGTACTGTGTGATCACCGGGGCTGGAGGAGGATATCAGTGGAACGGCGGAAGTGCCTTGGGTCGACTGTGGTCCATGGTGGTCCATGGTGGTTTCTGAAGTCGGGAACCACCAAATCATCCCAAAAAATGGATAAAAATGGTTCTTTTTGAATAGGAACAGAACGGAGGTCTTCAATTTTTAGAAACCCATCTTTTCTTGCTCCATGTACGATACATGTACTGACAAACAGAACCAACAAATGACCATAACATGTGGATAATCGTATAAATATATCGGAAATGGATGGAAATGGTGTATCAAATTCCTAAGGATTCAAACCCCATTGTACCTACCCATTGTAAGGCCAGAAAATGGGGCTTCATGGGCTTCTCATTTTGAGACAAACCTTGGCCGAATCGATGATGGAATCCTAGGAATTTCCCACGCAGACTCCGGGGAAGGGAATTGTCTCCTGTGTCAGCAATTTTTTGCAGAGTTGCTCCATGAGTTTCACTATGTTTCACTATTCACTTCTCATTTTTGGAGCATTTTGGACCATTTTGGACCAATCATCCACTAATATTGCCGGAAGTTGGCGGTCTAAACCTTCCCCACATGGTAGGTCTATGGATTGGATGATCTCAGGTCATTTGACCAACACCATTCGCGACTCCGGTGGGAGAGCCGCTTGAGCTAAGACGGTAGTTGCATTGCTAAGCATAGCAGGGGATCTTTAAAAAAATGGATCATTAATCGTAATTACCCTCTGGTAAACATCAAAGATAACTATAGAAAAAATGATCATTCATATAGTTGATGTTCCTATTAAACAGTATGATTAATTTCATAGCTATGTGAGTTTAGCAAAGGGTACAGTACCTGGATGAGAATGCAGCACTATATCAATCCCTATGGATCGCCCCTCGGGATGTTTTGGTCGTTTTTGCGGGTGACCTACCCAAAACAGGCGACGTGTTGAAAACGACCAAAACTTTTTGACACCAAACTGCTGATGGATTCTGGTGGCAGTTTGGCACAGGTGTTTTGTTGGTGGCTTTTCAAACGGATCTGTTTTGTTTCCCATGAAGATCCCATGACAGGGGTTGGTAACTGTCCCATTTTGGGAATATTGGACATCACCTTATAGTAGCCATTATAGACCATATACCTAATGGTTGGGTGATGTTCAATGGGGACATCAGTCATGACCCATGCCATGATTTGTACCAAACACCTGGGTATCGATACCCCTACGAGGTTTCAGTCTCCGGATTTTTGTCGCTTGCTCCGAGGAGTATGGCTTCGCAATGGTGGAAGTCAACAAGAGCAAAACAATTCTCAGATTTCTGAATAGTGACAGGAAGGTCAGCGGGTGAAGCGGCTGGAGATTTAGACACTTCGATACAATTCTCCAGAAAAAACAAACTCAGCCGACTTAAGTGGATTCCCTATGTTTTTTCAATATGACCTATTGATAGTGGTCCGTTTGGGCACCTCATTTTATGTGGGCATGACAATGGCTCATGCGGGCTGAACATAGTTGAAATCAGTACCTGTATAATTATAATAAGTAATATTATCATTATTATCATTATTATTAATTATTATTATTATATTATATATATGATTATATATGTTGTTTTTTCCCAGCCAAAAACTGCCAAAAGCACAGTTAAGACATAGTGGACAACTGCTTTTCCCCCACTGAATTCGGGATCTTCGCAGGTTCTTTGGGATGAGACGCTTCTGGAGAATCCCAATGCTCAAGAGGTGAGCTGAGGGCAGGTAAGCGTAACCTGTCATGATCTGTATGTAATGATTATGTATATCTTTATGTATGTGTAATGTGTATGTACAGATGCATGTGTGTTGTGTGTATACTTATATATATATATATACATACATATTTACAAATATTTATTCATACATACACACAGTGATTATACATTATTGTACATAGTGATACGCAGTTATACCTAGTCATACATAGCTACACATAAATTTAGATGATTTACATACTTACACATAGTTACACACAACTATAGATAATTATACATATCACAATGATGTTGTTGTCACATCTCCATTTTGGTTTGTTGAATCCCTTGATGTCTGTTTCCATAACAAGCCAGTTGTTCCAGTGGTAGGACTTAACCGTGTTTATTGGTGATTGCTGTTTGAACATAATGTGTATGTTCACATGCGAGTGTCCACATCCATAAACTTTTATTGTTTAGTTTATATCAGCCAAATCAGGAGAGGGTGAATCGCAAACTCCAAACTGAATCAGCCAAGGTGTTGAAATTCCGTTCTTCACAGAATTGGATGAGGGGAACATTTACATACAGGACACCCACAAAACAAATTGAGGTCAAAAAACAATGGTTGTCAACAGCAATTGTCTCTTGAAGCAATCCGTTGAGTTTGGGGCCAATTCCGACTCCCAAGGGGCAACTGCGAGCTTGCGCAGACTTTGGATGTCTTGGATTTCGGTTTACCGGGTGATAATCATTGATTATCCTTATCATTTTAACTTTATAAATAACCATTATATAATTACCAGTTGCTAACGTTAATTGTCCTGGGTAATTATCATTATAGTTATAACATTATAGTTATAACTGGGCCTGGGAAATCCCTAGTAAAAAAGCGGCACAACTGGCACAACCAGCTGACCAGTCTTTTTTCGTTTTTTTTTTTACAATTTCTGATGGTTGACCCCATGTTTTCCTCGATTCTTGTACCCTCTTGTTATTCAACATAGCCATGGAACATGGCCCATTTATAGATGGTTTATCTATTAAAAATGGTGATTTTCCATGGCTATGTTAAATAACCAGAGGGTAACTTTCTTAACATGTTGGGGTTTCACCAAAATCCGTGCTGAAAAAGATCATGGTGTTTTGAGTCATTGAAAACATCATGTTCCCTCCCAAAAAAATCGCAATTTCGATCGGTATCTCAACCGGTGTCATCAAACATGGCCGGCGCTCGCTGAAGAACATCCGGTACATAGCTAGCCATGTGTTTATAGCTGGGAGATCCTCCAACTAAATCCCATCAACATATCCTGGCAGTACCTATGGGTCAAATCCTGGCAACTTGGAGATTACCGGAGAGGGCAACTGGTGAACCGATTTTTGAATAGTGCAATGAATTCATGTCCCATTAATATAAAACTGGACAATATTAGGATATTTTTATGGGATATCAATGGGATATTAATGGGATAATACCAACTATATCAGGGTAAAACCAATTTTTGAACAGTCCAATTAATGTCCCATTATATATAATATCTCATTATATCTCATTAATATCCTATGAATATCCCCATTGTGCCACATTCTTGAACAATTTCTGCTTGTGAATTCCTCTTTTTGTTCACCAGATTTTCAGGTGGAAGTCGAGCCGATCCCTGCCAAAGATGCAGAGATTTTGGCCGACTATGAGGAGCAGCAGATCGTTGTGGGGTCCAAGTGGCACCCTTTTCTGGTGATCGACCATGGCTGAAAAATCCATGAAAATCCATGAAAATCCCACTTTTATAGATGTGTTTCCCAGCTAGAAATTTCCCAGCTAGAAATTCCATTGATCGGAGATTACCCAGAATTGCCATGTTGGATTCGTCCAAGCTTGGGGTCCTTCAGTGGTGATCTCCCTCACTAACTACTCTTTTAGTCGATGTATCTCAATGTATTGAAAATTAGATGATCACCATCAACATCGCAGACTGTCTTACTGTTCTATTTCTTATTTGGCATTCCAGAAGTATATGGGTTTCCTTGAAACTGGGATGCTTCACAATGGCAATTTCAGCTTGGGAAAGTCTGATGATTAACCAGTGGATGCTTCAGGGTTCACAACGTGTCAGGTACCCTTCAGCCGCCACATGTGTTCTGTTAAACCCAAAAAGCCATTGGCACCATCCCATCCCACCATCATCCCAAGTCAAGTAAGGCCATAGCGGGCCATATTTTCCGCCCAAATTTCAGGATTGCTCCCATCCAAAATTTGCTGATAGCCCTTTTTGGCCACAGTTGGGGGGTTCCCGGGGTTCCCAGTTTCCCATCCTTGTTGGGTTAAAGCAACCCAAATTGTGGACGGTTTATTGGCATTAGGCCTTAGCTCATGATGCTGACCACACCCTGGGCTGCGTCAGGCCGAAGAAGACAAGGAGTTGGACACTGGGCTGCCCTGCCAGTGGGCGGACTGGGAAGACGGCGCCTTGCTTGCGATGTTTTGTCCAACGGAACAGTGCCCAAAATACCTTGTGGTTGAGGATTTATGTATATATAATTGTATATAATATAGAAAATTACTTAAAACACGAGTTACAAAGAATTAACTTCTGTTTTAATTCTTGATATCATGTAACATGGTCATATAGACCCTTTCCGTCTATTGAACCTACGGTAACGCAATTTAAACATGTGGAGGGCGGGCCAGACCGCGAGGCCCAGGAGGTAGTATAAATACCAGTTGTATATTTAAATGTAGCTACCGTATGTATAAATGAATTGGAATCCGTATATATGTGGGCGGGCCAAGGAAAACCTTCACGGAGCCAAGGAAAACCTTCACGGAGCTAGTCTAAAATACCTGTTCGTATATTTTAAAATCCGTATATTTAAAAGTAGTTACCGTAATTTTAATTCTTTGCATCAGATGACAGGACAGCGGTTTGAACTGGAGGTTTTATTCCTCATGTGCAGTGGTGCCATCCTGTGGAATATCTCAGGATTTAATTGTTCGTTACTTGGGTGAAGTTTTCGCATACCCGAAGCTAGTGGAATTAAATCCAAAGTTTATTCCCAAAGTTTTCTTGCAGCCGTTTGTGGGCAACACAACAGTTTCCCACGCCAGTGCGGGTACCAATGAAGATCAATGAAGTGGCAAGACTGTGGGCTTACCGGCTTACCGGGTTCTTCAAAAGAAAGCAGCCAACCAACTTGAATCCTAGCAAGGACAGGTAGACACCCCTGGCACCCAAGTTCAATGTTGTGTGAAGCAGTGCTTGGCGGAGCCTTCAAGAAAAAAACAGCCATTCTGGCTCCGGTCATTGAGAAGCAATGGGTAGCAACATTGATACAGGGGATCCGGGGGCTTGCGGTGCATGCTGAAACTTTTTGGTAGATTTATTTTTCTTTTGAAGAACCCAGGGGGGGTCTTTTAGACTTATGGATGTCCAGCTGTTATATAACTCGGGCAAACGTCATCACTTCCAGAATGGAGAAACATTTCGACGCAGTAGACACTTCTTAGCGGGTCTTTGAAAAGCCCTTGGAAGGCACCGGGGTCTGGAGAGGAATTAAATCAGAATTTAATTCTTTGAGAAAGGAAACTCTGGGATATTGATCCAAATCTCACAGAATAAGAACCAGATTTAAATCCTGCATCTGCAAACACATTCGAAGACATAGAAATGATGCAACGGATCTTGCAGCCTGTAGGTGTATCCACGGTAACTTAAAAATCCACGAATTAGTTTGCATTGATTGAATGACAATTTTCTATGAAACAAATAGCATCATAAGGACCATATGAATAGTTGCTGCTTCAGTAATACGCACAGCAAATAACACAGGAATAAAACCCAGATTTAATTCTCATTCAGTTCTGGGTGATTGGTTCACCACGCACATAAAACCACGCACATAAACCCAAAGTTAACTCCCAAAGATGAGGTGGTACCTGTCTTCAAGAATTAAAACTGGATTTTATTCTTTACAACTCCTGTTTTGATTCCCTTCCATGTATCTATAATTGTATATAAGACTTAACTATATATATATATATTATATGAGCATATGTCCATATATGTATATGTACATATAATGCATGGTTTGGTACCATAGTGACCGGTGTCATGTGCATTGTCAACTAATTGGGAAGTCCCAGGAAAACCATCAATCGTGGACGGTGGAGCGTGTTGAGAAAGTGTGACAATCGTCCAACGAGACCACTTGAGATGAGATACTTGATGAATATCAACTCTATTCGGTTACATTCGGGAAAAGATGTCCTCAATGTAGGTGTCAACATGTTGTTCTACATGGAAACTACTTCTTTCCCATTGGAGGAAGCGTGAACTTCATGTTTGTGAAAGACTTCAATTTTTGATTGGCATTTTTGAGAACAGATGACATAAGGAGCCCCCAAAACAGTAAGTTTACGTTCCTTCATGAGTAAACTAAACGATCCGTTCTGGAACCCCCTTTATTCCAGAGATTCCCGAGGTGAGTGCGACGCAACCTGCGGCGTGGCTTGGCGGAGGATGGCGCCGCGGTGGACTCATTGTATGGTAAAAAATGTCATAAATAAGTGGTATGTTTACATTCCCAGTCATGGGTGGTTTATGGCATTGTTTTACCCCCGTTACCTCAAATATACCTCAAATCTTCTGGTAAAATTCCTCATATTCTCGATTAGACATGCACAATCTTGATCCATGTTGGGGGATATACCAAAGTTTTCTCCATGTTTAGACAAAAACAATCGGATAATGTGGTTTTGTCGATCACCTGACGTGCGTGGCAACCCAGGATGCAGTGATGGTGCGTCGCAGACAAGAGGTGACGAAACAAGTGGAGTGCAAGGAGTGGATCCCGGGTACTTCATGCTCGGTGGGTTGACATGGATTTTGTCATTAAAAGTGTTTTTTTAAAACTATGGAGAAACTCAAAATAGCACAGTTGATCATCATTGATAATCATAGTTTCTCCATAAAACTATGGGAAAACTATGGAGATCATCATTGATTGATGTTTCTTTCTTGTAAAAAAACGCTATCTCGGAGCATCTCGGAGCTCAGGGTATTCTATTGATTTTCATGGCGATATTTTTGGGGTATCCCTCTGGTTATGTCAAAATAGCTATTGAAAATGGCCATAGACATAGTGGATTTTCCCATTAATAGCATGGTGGATCTTTCCATAGTTATGTTATTGTTATGTTAGTTTACCAGAGACGTTGTACACCCAATGATAAACCTTCCGCAAGTCATCACCATTTTTATGGGTATAGACAGATCATCCCCCAGTCATGGTAGGTAAACATGGCATTGGTTTTTCATGTTTTTTCCACATGAACCAGTACCCATGACTGATCCATGGTGCTGCTATATATGGTGTGCCATGGATCCCATCAATATACCCCAGTCATGTTAGCATATATACCAGCACCATGGATCCTATGGGGTAATGCTCGGGATATTCCTCCAAGGGTAACTCAACAGCTGCCCGTAGGATGAGCAAATGCGCGTGAACTGCACCCTGGAGCCTTGCACGGAGCCTGGCACTGGAACTGACTCTCCAGGCCTGGGGAAGTTGTGAAAATCGGACCATTTCGCAGGAGTTTCAGCGATTTTCTAGAGACGGGAATTTAACCACCACCATTTTTTTTGATGACTGAACAATCTATTTAATGGAATATCGTGGGATATAACTGGATGAGGAAAAAAATCATTGGAACTTCACCATTCCCCCCCAAAAAAAATAATTTTCTATGGATATTGATGTTTTGATTCGCAACAATGAGATACAATGAGGGTATAAGAAGCAACCTTAATGGGAATATCATGGGAATATCTCAAAAACAACCCCTATTTAGGTGACCGCCTGGGCGCTAGCGTGGCGCAGCGAAACGTTGTATAAACGAAGGTGTCATGGAAAACAGGCAGTGCTTAAATGTTTAGCACCTCCAACATTAAACAATATTAAACATATATATAATATATATATATATATACATATGATATAACAACATTAAACATATATATATATAATATATATATATATATTATATTTGTTATAATAGCTTGCTATTCCTGCGGTGCTTGTGTCTTGGTTTGTA